CTTTCTTTCTTTCTTTCTTTCTTTCTTTCTTTCTTTCTTTCTTTCTTTCTTTCTTTCTTTCTTTCCTTCCAGTACTAGAGCTTAAATTCATGACCTTTCGTCTCCTTGGTTGGTGTCCTACCACTTGAGCTAAACCTCCAGTTCTCATTTTTGCTGGTTAATTGGAGATAAGGATCTCTCAGATTTGTCCACCTGGACTTTTTCAAACCTGGGTCCTCAGATCTCAGCTTCCTGAGTCACTAGGATAACAGGCATAAGCCGCTAGCATCCAGCTAAAATTTCTGATTGTGATAACTATTAGCTAAAACATATATGGGGTGGGAGTAAACACGTGTACGTAGGTTCTTATTCTGATAAAATACCTACTGAAGCATTTAGGGAAGAGGAACACTGGGCTTGTAAATTTATTCTCCAATGGTTCAAAAGATACAAACCTGTATATAAAGGATATTGACAAAGAAAAAACGTGGCAATCGTTAACAAAGAAGGGTTCTTTCTACCATCCTTACAACTTTTCTGTGAGTGTGAAATCATTTCCAGTTACTTATGGAAAAGTATTTCAACACAGGACAGGATTATCCTCTCTATTTAATGGCCTGTTGTCAAGAGGTATGACTGACACCTAAGCACTGAATTCTCCACCCCCCCCCCCATCCCTTGGGTACCACTGTGAGCTTCCACAGCTACCTTGGGTTATTCTAGAGTAAGTAAGTAGGCTTTGAGAATGGTCCATCCACTCATTACCCGCTTTCTCTTGGTGCTGAGAAATTAAACGAAGAGCAAAGCAACATGGAATGCAAGGATTCAGAGACTGGGTCTAAAGACCTACCAATGATAGACATCCGCTTCCTGTCACTGTTGAAATCTAAGATGGCCAAAACACTGTAGGTCCTTTCTGTGCCCAGCTCGCTGATGGTGATGGTGTTCTGCGTCCTGGCAAGGAAGGCAAAGCCAAAGTTCCTGGCAGCGTTGACTAGGGCTCCTTCGTCGGGAGAGGCCGCCTGGTAGTTGATCTGACCTGCCAAGAGAAGCAGGAGAGAAATCCCAGCACAGCTGTGAAGCGGGGCTGAGGCCATCCCTGAGATCCGAGCCAAGGATCCTCTGCAGAGACCAGTGTACCGCCCAGAAAACAAAGATTTGGCCAAAATAAAAAAATGCCTTAAACTTGAGATGTTTATGTTGGATGGTAAACAGCAAATAGAAACTGAAAATTAAACAGCTGGCCAAGCCAGGTGCTGTGGAACACATTCATAATCCTAGCTTCAAGGATATGTTTACTGAGCTGTTTAATGATAGATACAGTAATACTTCAAGAATTTTTGTTGTTGTTGGTCTTGTTGGTCATGGGGGCTTGAACTTAGAGTCTGGGTCCTATACTTGAGCTTTTTTGTTCAAAGTTGTCACTCTACCACTTTGAGCCACAGATCGACTTCCAGTGTTTTGGTGGCTCATTGGAAATAAGAGTCTCATGGACTCTCCTGCCCGGGCTGGCTTTGAACCACAACCCTTAGATCTCAGCTAGGATCATAGTCATGAGCCACCAGCACCCAGCTTCAATAAAAATTAAAAAGAAATCCTTGGTCTACTCAAGACTATCTATTTCCTGCTTAATTATTCTGCCTCAAAACAGAAGTCTTTCCATAGCCAGTGACTTTTATATTAAAGGTCATTCAACTGTCATACTCGCATGAGCAGGAGGTAGGCCATGGACGTATGACAATTTTTCCTATGGAAAACTACCAGTAAGAGCAGAACGTTCCAGGGTGAAAAGCGCTAGGTAGAATTACACTTTCCCTTTTTTTCATTAATAATAAGATACTTCATTCTCATTAAGTCAGTCTTGTTGACTTTTGCTTTTATCTTTATCACTGTGTTACCCAGGCTGGTCTCATACTCCTAGATCCAACCTATCCTCCTTCAGCCTCCAGAGTGAGCCAGTGTTAATTACACATGACACTGCAAGCTATTTGTTCATCCAGAAAGTCATGCACCAGAAATTATAAACTTACTTGCTAAATCTAGCCATTCTACAAACATACACACAGAAGGCAAACTGTTTACCCAGAGCTAAGCAAGCAGCAGCGAGAACAAAGTATCTCTATACAACTTTAGCTGGCTCAGTCTGTGATCTTTCACATAATATTGACACCAAACATATTTCCAACAACAAAAAAGGAACAAATAACAAAAGCTGGTGAGGTATCCACACATGAGACAGTTCTATGAGAGCCAGCACCTGGATAATTTTATCATCACAGGAAAAGGAAAATCCTCCCATTGTGCTTTGGTAATATAACACAAACTTGCAGGCTTAGAGGAAAAGGGAAGAACTGTCTAGATTTGTTCAAACTTCATCTTAGGTTATCAGGAAGAAACTTGGACCATAATAATCCTCTGCAGGAAACTGTATGCATTGTACTTTTACCTTTCTTTAGAGACTAATCTGTGGATTATGAAAGCAAAGCAAACAAAAATGATGCTTAGCCAGGCACCTAGCTTCCTGTGCAGCTCAGGTTACAATCATGAGCCACTGGCACCTAGTCCCACATGTCCAATCTTTTATGCGTATTCCTTCTCTTGAGATTTCATCTGTGTGTGTGTGTGTGTGTGTGTGTGTGTGTGTGTGTGCGTGTGCGCCTGTCCTGGGGCTTGAACTTAGGGCCTGGATACTGTCCTTGAGCTTTTATACTCAGGGCTAGTACTCTACCTCCACTTCTGGCTTTTTGGTGGCTAATGGGAGATAAGAATCTCATGGACTTTCCTGCCTGGGCTGGCTTTGAACTGTGATCCTCAGATCTCTGTTTAATATGAAATATCAAGGGGGCTTATAAAGAGGGATTTGGATACGATGCAGTGACTGAAGTAAAATTTAGAAAATAGATCAATGATGTGAAAATGGGCTGTGCTTCATTAAAGGTACATTGAAAGAATTACCTCCCATCATTCTTTCTACACTATGCATACATACATCATATATAATTTGTTGTGTCAGTGATAAAAATGAATCATTTTTATTGTTATTGGACAAGCTTGCTGTACCAAGCTGGCACACATTGGAGTTAAGAATTCTATAAAGTCATAATCTTACTTCTGAAACTGAAAATGCTTTGTACATCTACAGAAAAATAAAGACATTTTTATTTTTATTTTTTTATTTTTATTTTTTTGGGGGTCCGGTCGTGGGGCCTGAACTCTGGGCCTGGGCGCTGTCCCTCAGCTCTTCAGCTCAAGGCTAGCGCTCTACCACTTGAACCACAGTGCCACTTCCGGCTTTTTTCTTTTTGCTTATGTGGTGCTGAGGAATCGAACCCAGGGCCTCAGGAATGCAAGGCAAGCACTCTACCACTGAGCCATCTTCCCAGCCCCAATAAAGACATTTTTAAAAGAATTCTGTAAAGGAATGTGAACTCTAGCTGTGCCTATTCATATAAAAACTCCCATTAATTATCATCCTTGGAAGGAAAAAGACATCTTAAGAAGGCCCAGGCTTTTTTTTTTTTTTTTTTGGCTGATATTATCTGAATCTGGAAATAAAAGCAAATCTCTAAAATCATTATGTAGGAAGCGTTGTTCAAGATTAAAGTCCACATGTGATAAAGATAAGGCTTGATTTTATATACCCAATAAACATTAACAATGTGGCAGAGATATTTTGATTCTTCTATCATAATTCAAGAGCCAATGATATGTTTTAAAGATAAAATTTCATTTCTAACATGAAAAACACATGCACAGTTATAACTGAATCACCTGTAAACTTACAGAAAAAAAGAAGTTTGTTTTAGGCTGGGAATGTAGCTCAGTGGCAGAGCACTGGCTGATTATAACCAAGGCTTTGATTTCAATTGGAAGGAAGGAAGGGAAGAAGGGAGGAAGGAAGGGAAGGAGGAAGGGAGGGAGGGAAGAGGGGAAGGAAGATGGTGAAGGAGGGAGAGAGAGGAGAAGGAAAGAAGGGACTAATTTCATGATTTATTTCAAATAGGGTCTATAGTAGATTCTCATAATTATTCATTGCTTGAACAAATATGAGACAGACTTTTCATAAGAACAACTTGATAAGCATTTGAATCATTAAGTGTGAGTCACCTGCAAACTAAAAACTGACCTCCAGTATGTGAGAGGCCAGAGAAATACTCACCATCAGCTCTTTCCACCATGACAGTGTGGCAGACTGCAAGCAAGAAGAAGAACTGCCGGACTTCTGGCTCTTTCCCTGACTGAATTTGCTCAATAAGATAATGGTCGTGAAATGCTAGCTTCCCATCAGCAAATGTATTCCAGCTAAAATCAACTTGCTGGAAGAAATGGAAAAGGGAAAGACAATACATTAAAAAATAATTTTAGATTAAAACAAATAAACTCTTCTTTGAAGCCAAGGTTGTTTTTTGTTTTGTTTTTGTGCTAGACCTGGGGCCTGAACTCAGAGCTCAAGATTAGTGTCCTGCTCCCTTGAGCCACAGCTCCATTTCCAGATTTTTTTTTCTTTTACTTTATTGGTGATAAGAGTCTCACAGACTTTCCAGCCTAGGCTGGCTCCAAACTGTGATCCTCAAATCTCAGCCTTCTAAGCAGCTAAGATTAAAGGCGTGAGCCACTGGCACTTGGCTAAAGCCAAGTTTTTGAATTATGTAAAATTCACCTAGAGTCTTGAGCACATTGTAGCATATTAGGAAGTTGATACCCATTTTAAGATTAAAAGAACCATGTTGGAGGTCGAGTTGTGTCCTGCTAACAGATCCAGGGAAGCTCTAACAGGTACCAATGGATTTGATCTTATTTGGAAACACAGGCTTTGTAGATGCAATCAAGTTCATATGCAATCATATTGGGATAAAATGGATGGCTGGAAAGAACCACACATAGACACCTAGGAAAAACATTTGAGGACAGAGGCAGAGATTTTGGTTTTGTTTCTACAAGCCTGGGGCTCCCCAAAACTGCTACAAATGATTAGATCTCAGAAAAGATCCTCCCCTAAGAGCTTTTAGTAACAATACAACTTTTTTCCCTTTTTTTGGTGCCAATCCTGAGACATGAACTTAGGGACTAAGTGCTGTCCATGTGCAATTTTGATCAAAGCTAGTACTGTGCCACTTGAGCCACAGAGCCACTTTTGGTTTTCTGGTAGTTAATTGGAGATAAAAGAGTCTCACAGACTTTCCTTGGAGGTAAGAGTTTCAAAGACTTTCTTGCCCAGGCTGGCTTCGAACTATGATCCTCAGGTCTCAGCCTCCTGAATAGCTAGGATTGCAGGCGTGAGCCACTCATGCCCCATAGAATATAGCACTTAACGCTTTGGCCTCCACAACTGTAAGAATAAATTCTTGTTGCTTTAGGCCACACAGTTTGGAGGAAATTTATCCATACAGCTTTAGAAAACACATCTCCAATCACTCCTTAATTTGCAGAACTCACCTCTATCTTGCTATGATTATGTTGAGAAACATCTCGATGATCTCCTGAGAAACAAACAGGACAAAACAAGTTGAGTATCCATGGCATTCACAGACTCTGCCTGCCCAGTTTGTGTCTATGGCAAAAGTGGTGATTTAGATGTCATGAACTATTTTTAGATATGGTTTTCACATTTTCCAATAGGTGGAAAAAAGTGAAAAATTGCTAATACTTGATAGAGGCCATATAGGGCCTGCAAGGACAAAATACCTATGATCTAGCTTTTCACAGAACAAGTTTGCCACCCCAGTCTAGGTGTTTTGTTTTTTATTTTTGTCAGTCTTGGGGCTTGAACTCTGGGCCTGGGCCCTGTCCCTGAGCTCTTCAGCTCAAGGCTAGCACTCTATTTGAGCCACAGCACCACTTCCAGTTTTCTGGTGGTTAATTGGAGATAGCTACTACTCTACTTTGTCTTTAGGAATCATTCTACTTTGACTACTCTAAATGTAATCACATGACACTGACCTTTTTGTGAGTGAGTGAGTGCGTGCGTGGGAGAGAGAGAGAGAGAGAGAGAGAGAGAGAGAGACAGAGAGATTGGCTTATATCACTCAGCACAATGCCCTGAGGATTTGTCCATATCAAAGCACAGATACAATTTTCTTCTTTTATAAGGCCAAATAGTTCCTACTGTCTGTGTATAGCACATTTTACTTATCTGTTCATTCATGGATTGGCACTTTGGTTCTTTCTTTCTTTTGGCTATTGTAAGTAATGCTGTGGTGAAACTGGGTGCACAAATCTCTCTGGGTCTTGGTTCCCAACTCCTTTCAGTATGATATATACTTAGAAGTGGAATTGCTGATCACATGGCAATTGAGTTTTGTGTAAGTACTAGGGTTTGAACGCAGAACCTGGGCACATCCCTTAGCTTTTTCCACTCAAGGCTGGCCCTCTCCCACTTAAGCCACACCTCTACTTTTGGCATTCTACTAGATAATAGAAGACAACAGTCTCTTAGAATTCTCTTCCCAGGATGGCTTCTAGACTTGATTCTCAGTTCTCAGCATCCTGAGTAGATGGGATTATAGATGTGAACTATGGGACCCGGAGGGCAATTGCTTTTGGCTTTTTAAGGATCTGTTTCTGACTGTTGACCTCTGCCATACAGGTTTTCCTAACAGTGCCCAGGATGCTCTTTGGCAGTGGACTAGAGATGCCCATATCCACATGACTGCACAAAGCAAGGGCACCAGCAACTTCAGCAAGGCAGGCTGTGTTCCAGGCAGTACACAAGGAATGAAGCTTCCATTATGATTCAATAGTCAACCATCCCTTCTATTTCAGACCCAAACTACATCTGAATCTTGTCATCGAGGGTGTAGTTCTGAACTTGACCTCTGATTTTTCTCTTTTCCTCTCAATGCCCTCCTACTCACCATAGATTTGTCCATTGATGCAGCATTTTTTGAAGGTCATGATATTTTGTGTGAGTGTCCCCGTCTTATCCGAGAAGACGTAATGGATTTGCCCGAGCTGCTCATTCAGCGTGGTGGTCCTGGCCTTTGCAGGTGTGTCCTTCTCAGAGTAGTACATCTGCAGATCCCAGTTAATGAAGTGACTCTGTCCTAGACGAATCACCTCCACGCTGGTAAGAGAGATTTCTTTCATGGCATATGAGTGGCAAGTAGTCCTTTTTACCCTTACTTTTCTTTTAAGAACTATTGGGGTTTGAACTCAGGACCTCGCACATGTTGAGCCACACCCCCAATCATGATTTGCTTATTGTGATTATTCATCTTGCCTGTCAGTTTGATCCAATGAAGGGATGCATAGGCAATTATTGTTAAAGCACACCTCTAGATCTGTGATGGCATTGTTTTTTTTTTTTTGGTCATGGGTCTTGAACTCAGGACGTGGGTACTAACCCTGAGCATTTTTGCTCAAGTAGAGCCAGAGCTCTACTCCCAGTTTTCCATGGTCATCTGGAAATAAGTATCTCATGAACTTTTCTTCCCAGGCTGGCTTTGAACTGCTAGCCTCAGATCTCAGCCTCCTGAGTAGCTAGGATTACTGGTGTGAGCCACTACCACCCCAGCTGGTGATGACATTTTTGAGGGATTAGATCCAGATCGTTCTGATCTAATCAATGGACTAATCTCTTGATAGATTTATAGTAGGATAGCATTGGTGGTGAAAGGTAGGAAACAGGACTAGTTGGAAAACAAAGGTCACAGGGACCTGTTTTTGAGCACTAAATCTTGCCCTGGCCCCTTCCTATATCCTCCCTCTCTCATTCCTGTCCCTTCCTTGAAACACTCTCTACTTCCTGTCCACCATGAGATAGCGGTCTCTTCCTCCCCTACATACCCTGCCACAAGGTTGTTCTGCTTCACCACAACACAGAAGCACAGAGCCAAGTGCCAACAGGCCAAACTGTCTGAAACTGTGAGCCAAAGCGGATCTTTGCTTTTTGAAGCTGTATATTTCAAATAAGTAACCCCATTTATCCACTGCTTTGGTCTGAACATTTTTAGTGTTCCTCCAAACTCCATATGTTGAGACATAATCTCCAATTCAACTGCAGTGAGGAAGTGGTTTGTTCCTAGAGCAAGGCTTTGGTGAATGAGACTGATGTCTATAAAAGGGGACGAGGGGAGCTTGTTTTCCCCTTGTGCCATGTGATGGCATCGCAGAAAAGATGCCATCACAGACGCTGAGGGGGTCCTCACCAGACACCCAACAGGCTATCCCTGGCTCCTGGACTTCCTTCAGAAGTATAACAATAAATTTCTGTTGTTCATATGTTAGTCAGCCTAAGGTGTTTTGTTCTAGTAACCTGAATAAATGAAGACATCCTCAAGGAGATAAGCCATGTTATGGGCCATGTGTATAGCCTCTGGGTTCTCTTGATCCAAAGTACCACTCCCCAGCTTCAAGGTCAAGCTGATTTCAGGTCACTTGTGTTCTGTCACAGCATCTTCTGAGTGTGATTCCCCCATCCTTCTAAGCATGTCAGTCCATGGCCATGGAACTCTGGAACACAGAGTCTGGGGAGCAGTGACATAATGACACTGCAGACAGCACCCCAGAGGCAACATCCTTATTCTTTCTTCCTTCCTCGTCACATCCAGACAACTGAGATGGGCTAGTTCACCTTTGCCACTAGCTGTAGGGTCATGAGGGTGAGTGGCCAATGAGTGACAGACCTCTGTGTGTTCTCGAACAGGATTGAGTCTTTCATGCACAGAACTCCTATATTGTGTTCCCATACTGTGAAAAAGTGTATTTATTTTCTATTTTCTTACAAGTTATAGATGTTCAAATGAAGACAATCTAAAAGGGTCATTTCACTTTTTTTTTAAAGTTATAGATGTTCAAAAGAAGACAATCTAAAAGGGTCATTTCACTTTTTTTTTTTTTTTGTCTGTCGTGGGGCTTGAACTCTGGGCCTGGGTGCTGTCCCTCAGCTCTTCAGCTCAAGGTGAGCACTCAGCGCCACTTCCGGTTTTCTGGTGGTTTATTGGAGATAGGAGTCTCACGGTCTTTCCTGCCCGGGCTGGCTTTGAACTGCGATCCTCAGATCTCAGCCTCCTGAGTAGCTAGGATTACAGGCGTGAGCCACCAGCGCCCGGCTTCATTTCACTTTTAAAACCAAGGAATTATGTAGGTTTTGGGGGGTGAGGTATGATAGTAAGATTGAGGCAGGATCTTTTTATATAGTCCAAACTGTCCTCATATTTATAATCCTCTTGCCTTAGCCTCCAAGTGCCTGGCTAACACACAGCTACTATCTCAGGTATGAAGAAGCTATTCACATACCCAGCAATTGGAAAAAGGTCTTTATTTCACCGAAGGGAGCTTCACACTCCATTGGTCCTACTGGGTACCAATCACCATTTTAGGTATGGAAGATACAACAACAAATGAAGCACCTGGAATTCTTGCCCTTAAATAGGTTACATTCTGGCCATGGTAGGCAAATAAAACACCCAGGAAACCTATACTTTTATTAGGTTCTGAGTGTTCTCTGCAGAAAATCAAAGCAGGGGAAGCAGAGAGGGAGGCCAACAGGGAAGAGAAGTGATGGGCTAAATAGGGTGATCCAGGAGGGCCCAGGATAACAAGGTGACATCTCCATGAGGTCTGAAGGAAATAAAAAAACGAGCAGCATGGAGCTATCTAGAGAAGACTGTTCTAGGCAGAGATAGGAGAAGGTATAAAGGTCTGGTGGTAGGAGGAACATAAAAGGGCCTGGGGTGGCAGGATCCCAGGGAGATGGGCTGAGGAAAAGTTGGAGCCCTAGACTCCCCTAGGCCTCCGTGGTGATTCTGTGGCCACGATTTTATTCTGGATGAGACAGAAAGCTGCTTTGGAGAGGAAGACAAATTAGGAGATTCTGTTTGGAAAAACTTGATCTGACATCTGCTTTGGAAAGATCTTTATTTCTCAAAGAAATAAAGGAATCGCATTCATCTAGTAATATCACTTTTTAAATCCTCAAATGACATAAAGGATACTATGTATTTTATTTTATTTTTTTGGGGTCCAGTCATGGGGCCTGAACTCTGGGCTTGGGCGCTGTCCGGCAGCTCTGCAGCTCAAGGCTAGCGCTCTACCACTGAGCCACCTTCCCAGCCCATATACTATGTATTTTATAGCACACATTGAAAGCTTGGCACAGAATCTGTGCAGTACATATGTGCGCTCCCTTCACAGGGGTGTCAGTTTTTATTCAAGTGGCCAGAGGACCCATGGCGGCCCCAGGGCCTTCCTTCGCAGGAGGAAAGCAACAGTAATTACATGTAATAAAATTAAAAACAAAACAAATGCCCACGTAATAAAATTAACATAAAACACATGCTGCTAATTACAGGTCTGCATGTGAGATCCCAGGTACCACAGGGCTATGATTTATTGAAACCAAGAACTCACTCTGGCTGCTGGGTATATTCCAAGGCACAGTTCCCCCCTCTCCTCGCCCTATACCCCCAAAAGCTCTGAAATCCAATTGGACAGTAGCAGTGAACTTTGATATAAAAGAAAGAAAAAGGAGAAAATGAAGAAATATCATCAAACAAAGCTATTGATACTTGTTAGTACTTTTTTCTCCTTCCTTCCTTCCTTTTCTTCCTCCCTCCCTTCCTTCCTTTCTTCCTCCCTCCCCTCCTTCCTCCCTTCCTTCCTTCCTTTTCTTCCTTCCTTTTCTTCCTCCCTCTCTCCTACCCTCCCTCTCTCTTTTTCTTTCTTTCCTTCCTTCCTATCTTTCTTTTTTCCTTCCTTCCTTCCTTCCTTCCTTCCTTCCTTCCTTCCTTCCTTCCTTCCTTCCTTTCTTTCTTCCTTTCTTCCTTTTTTTTTTTTTGGTGCCAGTCCTGAGGTTTGAACTCAGGGCCTGAGAACTGTCCCTGAGCTTTTGCTCAAGGTGAACACTCGACCATTTGAGCCATAGCTCCACTTCTTGTTTCTTTGTTAGTTAAATGGAGATAGGAGTCTCAGAGACTTTTCTCCCCAGGCTGTCTTCAAACTATGATCCTCAGATCTCAGCATCTTAAGTAGCTAGGATCATAGGCATGAGCCACTATGTCAACTTTGTTGTGACTACTTTGTTGTGCTACTGAGAAGAGAAACAACATTTTGAGAGGTTGAAGCAAAGCAAGGACCTTCTTTCTCACCAAAGGGTAGTGGCAGGAAGGTGGGTACTTTGATTGCCAGCTTGGGTGTGACAGACAGTAATAAGGAAGGCTTTGATAAGGACAGGAGGATGGGGATCATCAAAAAGGGATGTAAGTTTTTCCATGACATGTAAAATTTTCCCCTTCTCCCAGGCTCTTTTTGAAGCTTGGGCTTTGGAATCCACTAAGAAAAAAATCACACCAACGGAATAACTTTTGCCTTTGACCTTGGCATATCAGTGACTTTATCTTCAAAGAGGATAAGATAGGCAGTGCCTAGCACCGAGAGATTCTCAGACGCTCATTTCCTTTCTCTATCTTACCCTCAGTTCTGAAGCACAAGTTACTTTCTTGTTTCCTTTTGACCTTTGGAACAATGATCACTCACATGAAGTTGTGGAAAGAGACTATAGTCTCGCCCGAAGACCAGACACCCAGGGGAGGACAGTCGTTACCTGACATAGAGAGAGATGGGCACCATGGTGTTCAGCACAATGATGTAGCCCCAGAAATTCAGGAATCCCCGGTAGGAAGGCGTGGCATTTTCTCCATCATAGAGGTACCAAGAATAATTGCCAACTTGTGCTTCCCAGTAAGCATGGCCGATGGCAAGGCCAGCAGAAAGCAGGATGAGGACAACAAAAATCTAGAAGGCAGAAAACATTGAAACAGGTGAATTTCCACCCCATGCATTTCATAGATGCTCATGAACTTTATGCAGTACTTCCATGTTTGTGATTTAGTAGACTATTATATATATATATATATATATATATATATATATATATATATATATATATATATATATATATAAAACAGGAATATGTGTGCCAGGGATGAGTGGCTCATTCCTATAATCCCAGCTACCTAGGAGGTTGAGATATGAAGATCCTGGTTTGAAGTCAGCCTGGACAGAAATATCCCCTCCCTGAGACTCTTATTGCCAATTAACCAGCAAAAAGCTAGAAGTGAAGGTATGGATCAAGTGGTAGAGTGCTAGCCCTGAGTGAAAAAAGCTAAGGGAATGTCTAAGGCCCTAATTTCATGCCTCATTACTGGCACAATAAAATAAAACAAAGCAAAACAGTACTACAAGAATGCTTTAGGAGTCTATTTGTTATGATTGATTGGTTTATAGTACATGTATAAAGCAAAGTTTTATTCCCCAAATTATCTTTCAAAAGAGAAGGTGCTGTCATATCCCCTTCAATTACTTTTGGTTTGAACAATACCAGAAGATATTCTACCCTGCCTGAAACAGTTTCAGACAATGCTGAATTGGGATTCTTACAGAAAATATTGCATGGAAATATTTTACGTCTTTGTTTTGATTTTTGAGACAGGGTCTTGTTACATAGCTCAAGCTGGCTTCAAACTCTCCATCTTTCTACCTTAGGCCCCAGAAGCCTGAGATTACAGGCTTGGATTAAAAAAAATTTTTTTAGAGCACAGAAATGTCATCCATATTTGCATAATTATTCCTGAAGCTACAATGTCATAAGGATGAGATGGTACAGTAAACAAGACTACTTAAGAAGCAAGACCAAGCTGGGCGCTGGTGGCTCACGCCTGTAATCCTAGCTACTCAGGAGGCTGAGATCTGAGGATCATGGTTCAAAGCCAGCCCGGGCAGGAAAATCTGTGAGACTCTTATTTCCAATAAACCGCCAGGAAACCGGAAGTGGCACTGTGGCTCAAGTGGTAGAGCATTCACCTTGAGCTGAAGAGCTAAGGGACAGTGCTCAGGCCCAGAGCTTAAGCCCCAGGGTGGAAAGAAAGAAAGAAAGAAAGAAAGAAAGAAAGAAAGAAAGAAAGAAAGAAAGAAAGAAAGAAAGAAAGAAAGAAAGAAAGAAAGAAAGAAATTAAAGAAAGAGAGGAAGAAAGAGAGAAGAAAGAGAGGAAGGAAGGAAGGAAGGAAGGAAGGAAGGAAGGAAGGAAGGAAGGAAGGAAGGAGCAAGACCAAAAGAACTATGTTGTGAAATAGATGAACATATATTTATGGGGCACATTCAAAAGTCAACTGTCCTACTGTTTTTGAGTATTTGGAGTAGGAATGAAATTTCTGGGACCTATTACATTTCTGGACACTGATTCTGAAAGTTCTATGTCTCAAAGCAAGTTGGCATGGAGAAGATGAGCCCTTTATAAATGTTCTACACAAGACCATGACCTTGACTATGACCTTGACCATGGCCAGGAACATGACCAGGCCAACTAAAGATGAAGATGCTAAGTTCCAGCAAAATTTTCATGAAATCTGAGAGCAGGGGAAAAAGGAGCTGTTTCTTAAATGATTATATTACTCGAAGAGTTCTAAGTCCCTAAGAATTTACATAATCAAACTGAACTAAATATCTGTAACCTAAGGATGTTGGAGAACTGCTTAATATTTGGGAGTCACCTGTGTGCAGAAAAGACGTAACATGGAAGACCTGAGACTCCTCTCCTCAGAAGGTCTGCTTGTCAGGTTGGCCTTTGGCTGGCAATTGGATGCTTCAGTTTGGGGAGAGCTTCCTGGGTTTTTATTTCTTATCTGATATGAATGGCCCACTGAACTTAAATGTGTAAACAACATTATGTATGCTAACCACCTGCATTCCTTTAGGAAGTCTTAGAATGTTGGTGTCTGCCGGGCAGGTGGTACCAACATAACCAGTGCTAGGTAAGAGACTCTAATGAGCTTTTCTGGAAGACACACACATGGTCACAAGTCACTGCTGGGGGTGGGGTGGGGGAATTGGCTTGTAGGTGACTCCTTTGGGAAAGAACTCTTAGAGGCCTCTGTCTGATTTCTTCTGGACTTTGCCCTGTGCCTGGTATTTTTCTGATCTCGCTTTGTGTCCTTTTGCTGTAATAAGTCATCACTATGAGCACAGCTATGTGCCAAATTCTGTGAGTTCTTCTTATACAGCATCAAACTTAGACATGGTCTTGAGGCCCTTCTATATACCTTCTTTTTAGCCTTGTCTTGTGTTTGGAATATATGAAGTTATATTGTGTATGCTACACACCAAACAAGAAGAAGCAGGAGAAGGAAATGTAGTTGAAGTTTGCATTTATGAAAAATATAATTACAGGAAACAAATCTACCTTATCCTTTGTTTGGGATCCTCAACCTGTTAAATAATAATGCCCTGATTTTTTTTTCCAGTGCTGGAGCCTGAACTCAAGGCCTGGGCATGCTCCTTTAGCATTTTTGCTCAAGGCTGATACTCTACCACTGGAGCCATGCTTCCTCTTTGGCTTTTCACTGACTAATTGGAGATGGGAGTCTCACAGGCTTTTCTGCTAGGCTGGCTGCAAACTGTAATCCTCAGATCTCAGCCTCCTGAGTACAGATGTGAGCCACTGGTACCTGGCTTTCTCTAATTTTTAACCAGTTGTACTCTAGACACCAAAGTACTTGGGACAGATAGTCCACATGTGTAATTTTCCTCTCACAGGGGTCTGTCCTACTAGAAGAATAGCATTTCTGAGCTCCTAGGCCTGGAGCACCCAAATATTGTTCTCCTCATCTAAAGACGTCAGATTTCTTTGCACTAGGAAACCATAAGAAAATTAGAGCAGATGGCAGCAGTCTAACCCCTCATCTACTAAAATGGAACATAAATACCGTGTACACCATGTAGTTCATCAAGTAATCGATTTTAGTTCTTTTAAATCTGGTTTTTCCACTGTTCTTCATTATCTTAGTGTCAGCACCTAAAAACAGAAAATCCAAAGTGATTCAACTGTTCAGTTCTTCCATGGTGGCACAAAACTTGCCACAGGCCAAACAGAATTGATGGGTATGGTTATGTATCAATACAACTTTACATACAAAGAAAATCATGGTGATCAATAGTTGGGGAAATCAATTAGTAAGTATATGAATAAAATTACTCTTGGCTTTGATGGAAAAAGACCAAAAAATTCCACAATTTTTTCTTTTAAATAAGTGCTCACAGAAGATCAATTTCCCTAGAAAGTCTCAAAAATACCTGCAAAAATGACCAAGCCATGACAAATGTCAGTGTTCCTAATCACACAGCCTCGCAGCAAAATTTTATCAGCATCCAAGGGAAAACTTCTGTTTCTCCAAAACAATGTTCCCGTAAACTTATCCAGCCGGTTGTTGGGTTCTTCACATTCAATAAAACCTTTTAGGAAACACAGGATTTAAGAATTTAGATTTTTTTTCTGCTTTTAACCAACAACTAAAGTAATCAAGTAAGTAAAATGTAAAAAGTCAGACATATTTTGGACAAACCATCAAATGTCGCCAAGTTATCTTCTCTTTGGAGGTACTGGTCTGTGATTTCCAGTGCCATTTTGAACTTCAAATTGGTTTCTCTAAAGGGAGGGGTGGGTGGAAGAGAATTAAATGAGCACATGTTAGAGCTACAAGAACATGAATGAAATGAAGAAAGTCACATTGGGAAAACCTGAAAGTGAAAGCTAACATTAGTTTCTTCTATTACTATTGCTGATATTTTTTCAACACTAGGATTTTCACTCAGCATCTCAACTTGCTGAGCAGTCTACTGCTGATTCTTGGATCTAACTTTGATTTTCTGTTTGTTTTGTTGTTGTTGTTGTTGCTTCTAGCTTCCACCCCTAGCAGGTGTCTAGAATACAATCTACCTATTTTAGGCTTCCCTTGCAGCTAGGATATAGGCATGGGCTCCCGTGCTCAGCTTCTCCTTATTGAGATGGAGTCTCATGGATATTTTTGGTCTGGAACCTTGATCCTTCTAATTTCAGTCTCCAAGTAGCCAGGATTCCAGGTAGGAGTCAGAGGTACCCACATCACCTAGTTTTAAATCCTGTTCACATGTAACTTTTTGGATTTTTTTTTTGGTATAACTTGGGTTTGAACTCTGGGTCGTGCCCTTGTCTACCACTCCAGCCATGCCTCATAGCCCCCTTGTATTTTTCAGATCTGTCATTTTATTCCTGGGCACTGTCCCACTCCTTCCTCCCAAGTAACTGGGAGTGCAGGCATGCAATACCATGCCCGGCTTTTTGTTTTGTGTTTTACTGTGTGCATTCATTGTATGAAGGGGGTTTTACTCTGGTATTTCAGATGTGCATCGACTGTGTTTTTCCCTGAATAACCCTCTAATCGTTTCTCTTTCTCCAGCTTTTTTTGTGTTGCTGTTTTTTGGAGATAGAATCATGATAATTCTTTTATCTGGATCTTCCTTGAACCATAATCCTCCCATCTCTGCCTCCTGAGCAGCTAAAATTAGAGGCACACACTATTACATCTGGCTGGCTCTCATCACAGAATTTTAGCTTGGAAGAGGTTTTGTTTTGTTTTTTCCCTAGAGTAAAATTCCAGACCCGGGAACTGCTGGCTTCCAAATCATTTGCTATTGTGACAGTCAGGAGAAAAGTGCCACATTCTTTTCCCTCATTAAACCAGCCTGTGTTCCAAACCACTGTTTAGAAAGAAAGAAAAAAGTAGTGTCTAATATTTCACCACTCTAAGATAACTCTATGCAACAAACTGAGCTTCTTCAGAGGGTAATGGGTCACATGTTGATGACAGACGGTTTGATTCAGGAATGAGGAGAGGGGTCTGCACCAATCCCAGTGAAAGGGAAGGATCTCTGTGTGTATGCAGCAGTTGGAGACAGGGGAGGGGGCAAGGCCACCTTCGGGCATGCTCTCTGGGGTCAAGGCCGCCTTGGTGCCCCTAGGACTCCATTAGAATTTTTTATCTATTAGGAAGCTGACTGATCATGATCAACTCCACTGTTTTGTTTTGTTTTGTTTTTTTCTGTCAGGGTATATTAGGATTTCATCTTCATTAATCTACACCTTTGTAGACTGTCTCACTGGTAAGGTTAACAGCTCTTTGATGTCCAGATTGAGTTGTCACTTGACTATAGAGAAGGAGAGGTCAGCTGCTCAGTCATGCAAATTCAGCCCTTCATGAAGTAGTGGATGAATCCCTGGGGAACCAGGGGCAAAGGTCCCAGCTGTCATTCCATGGGTGACCTTGGGCAGACTGCTTCAACTTCTTGGGTCTCAGTTTCCTCACAGTAATGCACAAGTAGTAATAGTGTTCATCTCACAGGGCTGTTAAATGGGCTAAAACTGTCACCCTGGTAAGCACTCATTAATCCTATTGAAAATTGGTCAAAAATAGAACTATTCTCTTTTAAGTTGTAGAAGAATAGCCAAAACCAACAAAGGAAGAATTCATAATTGTCTAGTGCCAAAGACTTAAAGAAAAAACCTACTCTTTTCTCTGAAATAGTAATATGGACAGTCATGCTTAGTGTCCTGGTCACAGCTCAGCAATGCTTTATTTGTGTGTGTGCCAGTCTTAGAACTTGAACTCACCACTTCAAGCTCTCATTTAACCTTTTGACTGACAGCTGGTGCTGTTCCACTTGAGCCATACTACCATCTCTGGTTTTCTGGTCAATTGAAGATAAGAGTCACATGGATTTGTCTGCTGGGGCTGGCCTCCAATCTCAGCCCTCAGATCTCAGCTCCATGAGTAGCTAGGATTATAGGAGTGAGCCACCAGTACAGCCATGTGGAGATAGAGGTCACTCCATGTGGGGTTGGTGGACCTCTAGCAAGCGGCAGAGGCAAGGCCAGACCTCAGGCTTTCCTGCCTGACATGCGCAAATCCTGAGGCAATGAATATGCCCCCAAGGACAGCTTTGAAAAAAGTCATCTTCAATGCACTCACCCATCTAGTTCGGCTGTCTCCACATAGCACAGGCTGTTAGGTTCAGAGCTGGATAGCAGCAAGATGTCAGCCTGTTCAAAGCAAAAGACACAGGTGACACAGTAACCCCAGGGTCGAGGGAGTGAGGCTTGGGGTTGTAGGAAACAGGAATGAGGGGAGCAGGACAGTTCACTTACTGGGATAAAATCGTTTTTTTTCAGACGGATGACATCACCGACTTGAATGTCTTTCCATTTGGTAACTTTGAACCTAAGGGTTAAAAATAATGATAGTTTTTTTTTTGTTTGTTTCAAGCAAGGGAATTATTATCAATGAACAATAATGAGCAATTATTAGTATCCATGTCTGGAGATTGAGTTCAGAGATTCTGGAAAATGCACAAATCTTGGGGACAAGTTTGCTAGAAGTTGTCCTTTAAATGCTGGACCCATATTCCATGGTCATGAGGATGTAATCATTCTAAGAGGCAATGGTGATGTGAAGACTTCAGTGTCAGGAAATATTCCTGAGGGCCAGTATCGAGAAAGAGAAATCACTCTGCTGAGGAACTGAGAAAGATAGCATGACATCCAGCAAAGCCTTAAAGGAAACTGCCAGATGAGCTGATAGCACAAGGTCCAGAGGTGCTGGTAACACAAAGTCCAGTTGGCAATGGCATATCATCCAGTTGGTATACTGCCTGGAGATCATGAAGGTGATCCAGTGTCTTGTATAAGTTAAGAGACTCTTAGGAATTACAAAGTGAATACACTCGCAGACTTCGACCACCTAATAGAGAACACTCATTATGTTCTCTAAGCCCATCCATTCAAGACATCGTTGTAGCTCCACAACACATGGAAGGACACAACGTACCTGCCATCCTTAATGACTTCACATAACCTGTTGTTGATTTCCTTGTCCATTTTGTGTCGAGTCTTTGAAAGAAAGACGAGAAAACTCATTTTAACCAACTCAATACATAGTGCATTAATACCAGATTATAATAAGCTCAGAGCAGTGATAGAAATTGTATGAGACATTCTTACCACATCGTCCACCAGGTCTTTGATGGCAGTGATGCCCAGCACCAGAAGTAGGGGAAAAAGTGTGGTGTACCATGCCAGGGTGGAGATTTGAGGAATTGCCTAAACAAAAGGAAAAGGTCTTACAGATGTACCCATGAAGGTGTATCTAAGATTGCCAATGCTAAGCTTTCCAATACCAATTTCTTCCACCATACAACTGCAGAGCATATAGGAAATGGCATGTAAGTATCTAGTCAGCCTCTTCCTGGCTCCATTCTCTTCTTGGTTCCACTCTATACCTCTTGGAACACAGCCAGGAGTTAGTCATCTTACTGTGACCAACTGGACACCAAGGAAGTTTTGTCACATTCTACCTAAAAGAGAACTGCTCTGAATGTTTTGTGAAAATCATAATTAACGGAAAGGGATGTAGGAAGACCTGATCCTTAACTTTAAGGCATGGCAGATCGTCTGCACACAGTAGGTTGCTCAGCCAGTGTTTCCTGGGGGCGGGGGTGGAGGTGAGGGAAGGGTTGTCCCATGTTGTAGGCAAAGATGGCAGCACTTGAAGAAGGTCATGGACTAGGCAAGGAAAGAGCTGGCCTGGAGGATGCTTTCTCTCCATCAAGGCAGATTTCCAACCTGGCTCCTGTAGCTTATTGAGGCCAGTAATCTGATAAGAGCAGTAACCTGATAAGATCTGAATATCAAGGTTTAAAGGCAGCATGAGAGGTATAGTCTTAGATTATCTTGTCTCCAGTTTATCAGTGAAAAGCCTGACGTGGAGCTGTGGCTCAGGTGACTAGAGTATGAGCCTTGAACAACAACAACAAAAAAAAACAAGTGAGAGCAAGCACGCTTCCCAGTTTGAATGAACAGCAATTAAGAGGACTGGGAGGTAAATTTAACAAAGATCTCTTGTAATCATCTTGTAAATCATCGGGCCACATCACTTAGGGTTCTATGAAGTTAAGCTCCTGGATGCAGCCCGGTTAGTCCCATACAAAATGGTTTTGAGACTTTCAGCAAGTTACTTTACCTTACTGTAGGCCTCTTCTCTGCAAAATGAGGTTATGCTGGCACTTAACTCTGGGAGATACAGGGATTAAGTGTGCATTATACAAGAAAATGCAAGGAAAGAGCTTAAGTCAATTACTTCATCTTGATGTGCATACTGCCCCATAAGAGAAGGCAATTGGAGAACACAGAAGGTGGATCGTTTCCCAAACTTTGTGAATAAGGTGGTCTCTCCTCGTTTCTTACAGAAGGAAGCCAAGTGTCCCCCAGAAGCACCTTATAACTCCCAGTGTGCAACTCTGCACACAGCTGTTGGAATATCTGTCACCAGACAGCAGTACCACATTTTATTTATTTATTTGATTTTTTATTTATTTGTCGGTCATGGGGCTTTAACTCTGGGCCTGGGCGCTGTCCTTCAGCTCTTCAGCTCAAGGTTAGCACTCTACCACTTGAGCCACAGCATCACTTCCAGTTTTCTGAGTGGTTTATTGGAGATAAGAGTCTCACAGACTTTTCCTTCCCCAGGCTGGCTTTGAACCTCAATCCTCAGATCTTGGCCTCCTGAGTAGCTAGGATTACAGGCATGAACCACCATCACTGGCCAATACTACATTTTAAAACTAAGTCTGAAGGCCTTGTGTTCCAAATCTGCTGAGCATCCACTTCCCTCTAGCATCCCTTCTTCTCTTTTCTCTCCTCTCACTCCATGCCTTCTCCATCCCCCTCTCCTGTGAGACACACAAGCTACCATTTTATCACCTTACTCAGCAGGACTGCTTTTCAAATCCAACCTTTGATGTAAAGAATCTGATAAAGTAGATGTTATGTAATTTATATGTCAGATGCCAAAGATCTGCTCTGAGCACTAATTGAAGTGCATAGAGTCTCTTTGATTATAGCAACTATCCTAACACACTTGAAAAGTGCATACAGTCACTTTGATTATAGTAACTATTCTAACACAGATGAAAAGTCTTGCTTTCCAGCTAAGTGAATTCTTTACCATAATAACAAGAAAAATCAGCAAAGAGGAGGTCTATTCTAATGCAAAGCTACATAACAGAAAATAACATGAGATCTATGACCAAAATATTAATGTCAGTAATATTCTTGGGGAAATTATATTTATTTAATAAAAATAAAGATAGATTTGCTTTGAGGATTCAAATAATTTTATAAAGCGAAGATTTTAGTTTTATTCACTTCAGGGATATCGTTTGGAACATATAATTATGGAATCAAGTTTTGAAAAACAGAATTAATGTAGTATTGTTTTCCCTTTTCTTGTTCAAATACTGACTGAGCTGATTCTGTAGATAAGTTACTGATCTCCTCTGCAGAAATTCTTGATTTTAAACTAATTAAGAATAATTTCTAGCTGGGCACCGATGGCTCTCGCCTATAATCCTAACTACTCAGGAGGCTGAGATCTGAGGATCGAGGTTCAAAGCCAGCCTGGGCAGGAAAGTCTGTGAGACTCTTATCTCCAATAAACCACTAGAAAACTGAAAGTGGCACTGTGGCTCAAGTGATAGAGCACTCACTTTGAGCTAAAGAGCGCAGGGACAGTGCCCAGGCCTAGAGTTCAAGCCCTACGACCAATAAAAAAAATTTAAAAAATTAAACAAAATAATAATTTCTTTTTCTTTCTTTTTTTTAAGAAACCACTTTCAAGCTGGGTGTCAGTGGCTCATGCTTATAATCTCAGCTAAGATATGAAGCCAGCCTGGGAAGGAAAGTCCATGAAACTGTTACCAACAATTAACTACCAAAAAATTTAGAAGTAGAGCTATGGCTCAACTGGCAAAGAAGCTCAGGGACAAGACCCAGGTCCTGAGTTCAAGCCCTAGGACTGGCACACAAACAAGAAAAAAAAACATTTCCAAGACTGTCCACATCATGTGACCACAACTTCAATGGTATTGACATATCATAACTCCCAGAAGATTTCAGATATCATTACCTGTAAGGTAAGTAGAACCAGGAAATAGAAATTGGCTGCTCTCTTAAACTGCTCAAGTAAATTCATGGGTAGAAAGGTAAATGTGTTGTATTTGTATGTTTTAATTGCATTACTCTGTTGGAAAAAATAAGAAAAGCATTGTAAGTGATGCCAAACATCAAGTTTATATACTTGCAAAAATCACCATATTCTACAATTAACCCAGGGTTGTAATCCATCAGTCAGAAAAAGGATACTGAGATTTCTTTTATGCGCTTTTTTTTTTTTTTTTTGCCAGTCTTGGAGCTGGAACTCGGGGCGTGGGCAATGTCCCTGAGCTTCTTTTGCTCAAGGCTAGCACTCTACCACTTGAGCCACAGCACCACTTCTGGCTTTTCTGTGTATGTGGTACTGAGGAATTGAACCCAGAGCTTCACACATGCTAAGCAAGCACTCTACCATTAAGCCACCTTCCCAGCCTCTTTCTTTATGCTTTTAATTGCAGTCAGGCTGGAATGACTTCCTATATCAGAGAGAGAAACAAGACACCAAGAGTGGACAGTGACCTCCTGGAAATTACTGTCAGACATCTTGGTCAATTGCCTGGGGTAAAGGCAGATGTCTGCACAGCCGACCAGGAAAAGGACACTTTTATAAAGAAGGTTGAGGCTCCTGTATAATCCAGTGTAGAACACACTCTTGGGTTCCCCCATAATGGGACTTTATTTGGACATAGGATCTTCATACTAGATGAGTGGAGTCCTGAGCTCCTAACTGAGGAAGGAACTGCGCATAGTCAGTCTCACAGGGGTTGGCCACTTGAAGGCAGAGGTAGGGATTGAAGTGATTTGTTTACAAGCTAAGCAAAGCTGGGAATTGCGGGTAACCACCAGAAGTTAGACACGAACTCATTCTGACAATTTCCAGAAGAACCCAACCCTGCTAACACCTGGACTTTGAGCCCCTTAACTAGGAAATGATAAATTTATTGTATCCTAAATCACCCAATTGCAGTATTTCATTATAACTAAAATAGATACAACCTTTGAATCCACATTTAACAGGTATTCTTTGTCATATTTCAAAGAAAATAAGCAATTTTAGGTATATAGATGTTAAATTCATTTTATATTAAATGCATTTCCAACTTGTTGCTTTCAAACAGAGAGCTTCTGTGACAACTTTGATCATCTTTCCTAAAATACTTTCAAGAGAGCTCTGTACACCCACAGGGAACTGTTTTACTCTGCGTAAATCTGGTTTGTTTTGTCTCGTGTCAATCCTACCCACCTTCAGGGTAGTTAAGTTTCAAGAAAGATGATGTTGTATAGAACCCATAGGGATTAGCAATACCCCAGGCTACAGGTTATTTGGAAGTAGTTGGTGCATGAAGCTGACATGCATGACAGGGTCAGGAGAATGCTGAGCTTTTATAAAAACAATTCAGGAATCGACTTACCGCATATTTACTCTCCTTGATACAGAAGAACTTTGTGTTCATAAAATGGGGTTGTTCATGGAACTTCCGGTCATTTGCTTTGACTTGCCATGTACAGTCTTTAAAAGGGAACAAGACAGGGTCACTGCAAGAGGAATCTAATTGAAGTCATGAGTAAATCCTAATCCAGCATGACCCATGTCTGTATCAAAAGGGACAGTGTGGTGATGATAATATGAAGTTAGTTTGGGAGATAGCCATTGGCAAGCCACAGACAGAGGCCTGGGTGGATCCTGTTCTCACAGTGTTTGGAGGGAACCAAGCCTACGGACTGACACCTTGATCTTGAACTTCAGGCCTCCAGAACTATGAGAAAATCAATTTCTGCTGTTTAAACCACTATTAGCAGCCCTATCAAAATAAGAGTCCTGTGTGACTTGATCAACTGTTCCACTGAAATTCTAAAACAAACAAACAAACAATTTTACCTCTAAACATAGCCCTTATGAAAATACCAGAGATCCACAAGGTGATAGCCAAATTATTTTTTTGTCAATCTCATCGATATGGTTGGTAATATTTCCACTGTATGAAATGTTCAGCACTTTGAAGTCCTGTCTTAGGTCATCGCTCTGCCTGCTTTTTCCTGGTCGTCTTTCCAAGTTCAGTTCATGAACTTTCTCCACGTTCAGCTTCACACACATTAGGCTACCCAGTGGCTCAGTCCTTTCTACTGCAATGTCTCAAGCTCAGGGAACTTAGAAGACCAACATTGAACTTAGAAAGTTCAACTTTTTTTTTCAAACTTTCCCACCACACTATTCTTGCTAATCTGCTTCTTCCTGAATGGTCTTCCCAACAGTCTTTTGAAGAGGTCTTCACCCAGGTTTTTTGTTGTTGTATGTATGTATGTATGTATGTATGTGTGTGTGTGTGTGTGTGTGTGTGTGTGTGTGTGAGAGAGAGAGAGAGAGAGAGAGAGAGAGAGAGAGAGAGAGAGAGAGTAGGGCTTGAACTCAGGAGTTTATGTTCTCACTTGGCTTTTTCATTCAAGGCTGATGCACTACCACTTGAGCCACACCTCTAGCTCCTGCTTTTTGTTGGTTAATTATACATAAGAGTTTCACGGCCTTTTCTGCCAGGCTGGCTTTGAATCTCGATCCTCAGATCTCAGCCTCCTGAGTAGTTAGGATTACAGGCGTGAGACACCAGCATATGGCTTCCTCTCCTGTTTTAGGGGTTCTTAACTCTGCTGAGGTCTCTCATATGCACCTCCCTGTTCACAAAGCGCAGCGCCCTTCCTTCTACTCAGTAGCCAACTCCTCACTTTGCCTGTCATCTTGTGTAGAAGTTCTTCGTACCAACTCCACTCCGGAGCCTGGTGCCACTGGATTCTCCCTGCCTTTGCCACACACATGCAGGTCCACAGGTACCCAGACGGGGATGGCTTAGGTTCTTCTGAATCCCTCTGAAATCCTCCATAGTTATCATAACTATGCTTTCCCCATAGCCCAAAATAGCTTCCATGTGCCTGAGAAAGGCACAGCCACACAGGGCGGGGCCCAGTGGCAAGCTTCACAGGTAACTGTTATTTCCTTGTGGTTATAGCCAAAGATCTGTACAGGCTTCAAGAGAAGAGCCTAGCTTTTTACTAATGACTATCTCCCCTGGTGGCCAGGCTAGGTCCATGTTGGGGGCTGGGAAGGTAGCTCAGTGGTAGAGTGCTTGCCTTGCATGCATGAGGCCCTGGGTTCGATTCCTCAGCACCACATAAGCAAAAAGAAAAAAGCCGGAAGTGGCGCTGTGGCTCAAGTGGTAGAGCGCTAGCCTAGAGCTGAGGGACAGCACCCAGGCCCAGAGTTCAGGCCCCACAACCAGACTCTCCCCCCTCCCCCCACAAAAAAAAGCTCATGTTGGTTGGGCAATAGCCTATCTGGTGGTGGATGCAAAGTCCATGGTCTCTGGGTGCATGTGGGCACACCAGTCACGTCAGCTCTTCTGCCAAGCTGGACTAAGCTGCTCCAACCAGTGGCAGCCTCATGGATTGTAGCACTATTTCCCCTGGATACCTTTCCTATGGATGTGATGAACAGCCCAGTACAATACTCACACAGCTGCCTGGACAGCTCTGCTTGTGCCTACGGGTCCTCCAACTCCCTATTTCCAGTCACCTTGACCCAACCCCTACAACAGAGCAGTTTTGATGCTTTTCAGATCTCTGGATCTATCCTTTACTAATCCACTGACAATGTGCACAGCTTTACCCTTTCCTCTGTTGGCTGGCCCGGCACCATGAGACTGAGCCTGAGTGTGGGGGTGAGGCCCACTCACGTCCTGAGGATGGACAGAAATGCACGCGTCCTCTCTCACACTTTCTCTCCATCCTAGCCAGGTGAGTCACAGAGACAGTAATGGTCACTATTGTCCACATCGTGACTCTGGACGCCAGGTCTTCCTCCCTCCTGAGACAGCTTCCTGGAGGAGACTGGAGAGCAACAAGCGCATCCTGACCTCCCCTACACATCCTCCATCTATAGGATTTACACCCCAAATCTACTAACAAGAGAAAGCAGCATTCATGAATTCGGATTTGATCGCTTCCTGTCTCAATGGGTGAGCTATCTGTGGAGCCCAGCAGCGAATGGGAATTTAGGATCTTCCACCAGGCCATATCCACTGGGAAACAGAAGCTCCCTCCTCTGTTTTGTCTGCCCACCTCCTCTTGTTCGCTCTACAGCTAACATGTTAGTGATTACTATGTTCCAGGCAGCATGACAAGAAGTTAACCTTAACACCTTAACTATACAGATGAGGAAACTGAGGCACAGGCAGGGTGAGCAAGCTGACTAGCTCCAACTGCAGCTGGCTCTCTAGCACAGTCCAGACCTTCTCACCATGATAAGAACCATACTGCCTGCAAGCACGGACTTAGGATGACCACTACTAGGGACAAGACCAACCCCTCTCCACTGCTGTCCCACCATGCAGCTGTGCCTGGACTCCTGACAGGAAGGCAGAGCCATGTGGCTGCCCTGAAGGCTCAACACAAAGTTAGCATCTGTTTGCAGTGAAAGCTAAGAAAACACCATTACGTATTAGGTTAAAGATACATGTAGATCAATTTCCCCAAGTGACATGCAGGTGGATGTATTGTGTCACTGTTCTTTTGTTGTTGTTCTTGTTTCTTTTCTTTTTCTTTTTTGCCAGTCCTGGAGCTTGAACTCAGAGCCTGAACACTGTCCTTGAGCTTCTTTTGCTCAAGGCTGGCAACTCTACCACTTGAGCCACAGTGTCACTTCCAGCTTTTTCTGTTTATATGATAATAAGGAATTGAACCCAGGTTTCATGCAAGCTAGGCAAGTACTCTACCCGGCCCTTTTGTTTTGTTTTTCTGTGTGCCAGTACTGGGGCTTGAACTCAGGGTCTGGGCATTATCCTTTAGCTTTTTTGTTCAAGGCTGGCACTATCTACTCCATCTACTTCTGCCTTTTTGGTGGTTAATTGGAGATAAGAGTTTCATGGATCTTTCTGCCTGGCTTGGCTTTGAACCTCAATCCCTAGATTTCAGCTTCCTAAGTAGCTAGGACTACAGGCATAAGGCATCTGTGCCCAGCTATTTGTATGTATGTGGTTTTATTTTTAAGACAGTGTCTGGCTATGTAGCCCAGATTGGTCTCAAAGTCATAATCTTCCCATCTCAGCCCCAAAGGCTAGATTATAGCAATATGTCATCATAACTGGCTGCATGCACTTCTAGTGGTTTATCTAAATTCACAGATAACTTATGACACCTCCTAGTCACTAGTCCTCTAGAAGATACTGAGAAAACTCTCCCAAATTTCAGGAAGGCCAAGAAGAAAAATACCCAAGATTCCTGGAGAAGAAAGAAAAGGCCAATGATAAGGGTTAAAAGATCAGTCTTAGAAATACTAAGGGTAGGGGGTGGAGTGGAGCATGGTGGTATGGGCCTGTAATTCTAGCACAAAGGAGGTAGAAACGGAAGATTTTGAGTTTGAAGCCAGCCAGAGCTACATAGTTAGATACTATTTCAAGAAAGAAAGAAAGAACCAATAAACAAAACCAGAAATATCCAGAATGAAAGACCATGTCATCCTGTTAATAACAAGCTTTCCCACCCTTCCTTTAGTCCCTGCCTGTGGCTCATTAAATTTCTTCATAAGAAAGCCCCTGGATCCAGTACCCCACCCTTATCACACATCTTCATGAGGAAGCTTCACACAGAGGCGGGTGCTGACCTCAAGTAGGAGCCAGTAAGGACCTAACCAGAAATGACCTCGGTGTCTTAATTTTACATATTTGATAACACCTCTGGGGGAAGCTTGAAAACCACAAAAACAGTTCTACTTAATTTCAGAATCCTGATTGTAGTCAAGTAGTCAATTGCCCTATTTCCAGGTGGGGCTCCTGAGTTTGCCCCACTGAGACAAGTCAGAGGTCATGTCTTCTGATTCTTGCATGATATTTGAGTTAATTATCTGAATAGCACACCCCACAGAGACCATTAAACATGTAAATGGTTTTCTGTGGTCAAAAACACTTGCAAAATATATCTGCTTCCTCTCTCAGACATGACAGTACGTTAAAAGATCTCAGAAGTCCTGGTGTAAAAAAAGAAATATTTAATCTGGCTTTTTCAAAATATAATCACAGGCATATTTATTAAAAAAACAATCACAGAACATTTATTACTAAGAACATTATTATTATTATTAAAGCATGCTCCATTAATGTGCATGTTTGGGGGAAGGATAACAAAAGAGCACTTGAAGATATTCAACTTTTTGATCTAATATGTAGTGAGGGTTAACTTATCTTACAGAACTTTCTGGGACACTTGGATCACAAGGTTAATGAATAGAAAAAGAAAGCAGCCTATTTTCTCTCTCTCTTTTTTTTTTTGTAAGTTGTGGGGTTTGAACTCTGGGCCTGAGCGCTGTCCCTGAGCTCTTTAGCTCAAGGTTAGTACTCTACCACTTGAGCCACAGCACCACTTCCGGTTTTCTGGTGGTTAATTGGAGGTAAGAGTGTCATAGACTTTTCTACCTGGGCTGGCTTTGAACTGCGATCCTCAGATCTCAGCCTCCTGAGTAGCTAGGAT